GCTGCTTTACACGTGAGCTGTTCTTTCTTGGGGTTTGTTTTAAGCAAAGCCATTTTTATTCTGTATCTTCTGTTCTATGCAGAACTTGCAAGAATTCACATATAACCTGGTGTGTGTCTTACAGTGGTCTTCTTATGTCCTACTAATTAAGGCCTTGCCTTTAATTAATGCTTTATTTATGATACTGTAAATAAAACTGCCAGTAAATTCTAGAAGCACTGCTCTCTGCTCCCGTGGCCCTTGACACCTCTTCAGTTTGCTTACGCTGGGTGCCAGAGTTGCTGTTAGCATGTCCTTCCCCCACCAGTGCTGTGGTGTGCCTTCTGCAGAGGAGGTTTGACCTGATCAGAGAAGAATGAGGCTGATTCTGGGCCCGTCTCTAGAAAAATCTCATTATGTGGCTTTTTGTAACTGCAGAGTAGTGTGTTGCTGGGTTTTATTTACCTCTTAACCAAGGGGTGGGAGGGAAGAGAAACACAGCTTCTTAATGAGCATTGGGAAACAAAGGATGGCTTTGGAACTGTCAAGGCTTGCAAAAGTGTAAAGCAAGACTTTCAGAAGGGCTTCAACGACCTATTTTGCCTATGAGGAAAGGTGAGCAAGAGACTCCATTTATAGGAGGTCCGGCATCACAAACTAGAGTCTTGTACTTTCAAGTGCCTTTTCTAATGACAGGTACCCAAGGGCAACCTGAAGTCCTTGTTTAAGCTCCAGTTTACATGCGAGCATGCCAAATACAAGCATTTGTAAAGCTGGTTGATGGGAGGGGAGGGAAGGGAAGCGGGGGGACATAGCCCTGATTTTTGAGCTAACTGTCACCATGCCAGTTGATATAAAATTGCCAAGTGAGGTTAAAAAGTGAGCTGCATTTTTTTGGAAGAGGTGTTTATGTGTTTCGAGGGGCATTGAGTGGAAGAGAGAAGACAGGAGGTGAAAGTATCTATTGGATAAAATTGGCTTGCAGGTTTTGCTGTGGATGTTGTTTTGGGGGGTTGGTTTTGGTTGGTGTTTTTTCTGGTGGTTTTTTTAGTGTGTGTCCCTCCCCCAAGTGCTTAGCTAGGCTGAATAGAAGCCAACACACCAAGGTGGAGTGAGTTTCTACTTTTTTGGTGCTTCCAAAACCAGGAGAGGGAAACAAAGCACCATGCTACTTCAAGAATCTTCTGGCCCAGATTGCTGCATAGGATGCTTTTGTGTTAATGTTTATGAAAATGTTAATTATGCCAACAGTACTTTTTAAAGTATTTTTGCATGTCTGACTTTCCCAAAATGCACCTGCTTATGGGGAGGGGTGTGTGTGTGGTTTTTTTGCTTTATGTGTTTTTGCATTTCCCATGAGCCTTTTCCTGATGACAAGGGGGGGGAAATCTGTCACTCCGCAAACTACATTGCGTGATACCATTCCTTGTGTTTTTTCCACTATCCCTAGTTTACTGAGATGCTACAAATTCCTCAAAAAAACCCACCAAAACCCCCAAACTTCTTTTTAAAAAAAGCAACCTAATTAAGTCCTGACTTACCTGCAGCTGTGTTGATTTGCAACCACTTGATTGATTTCAGTACAAGTGTCTGTAAGAAACATCGTAGCTCTTTTACTTGGAACCAGCTTTTGATTTGGCTGCTTATTCATCTATTACTATTGAAATGTAACTGCCCTTAGAGCAAAAGGATATGCCCAGTGTAACAGTGGGCCTATAGTCATTTTGTGGATAGGAAATTTTGTTTAAAAAAACATGAACGGTAAACCCTGTTACTATGAAGTTTTTGTAGGTAGGTTGGATGAAGGTTTCTGTAGATGCTCCCTTAGATTGTCAACAAATGCACTGTAGCATTTCCATCTTGTTGGCACTTTTGCACCACCGAGTTGGGTAATAAGCTGTCTAAAATGACAGGAAGCAAGGTCAATTAGGTCTGAACTGCTGCTGCAGGGCTGTGGTCAGGAAAAGAATGTGGGACAGAACCAGAGTCTGAGTATTTCTCAGTTCTTTTTTTATTCGCAAAGTGATGCCTGCTTTTACCCCTTTGGTATTAGCTCCTATGATTTCCCTTGTATCTAATTTGTTCTGTAAGTAACTTTTTTTTTTTTTTTGGCAGATGAAACATGAAATTGCTCCCAAATCAGGGTGGTTATTTGATATAACAAGGGTGCTGAGGCAGCAAAATATTAAGCACGTACATATGACTAATGACATCGAAGGCCCAACATCAGTGCATTGTTCAGAGATAGGCAGGACTAGAACGACTGCAAATGAGTTTGGCCTCTCTTTCTTTGACAGCTCTAGAGCCAATCTTGAATATCAATAGCGAAGGTGTTTGCACACAATCTACCCAGTTATCTCCACCAGGAGATGTGCAGGCACTGACACATGTAAAGTAAGCTTAGATCAGGTGTATAAGTAGGAGGCTGCTCCAGTATAAATGAGAACCAATTCCATGACTAGATTTAATTTTTAAGGAAATTAGGACATACTGATTTGTAACACTTGGTGCACAGAGTAAAAAAGCACAGAGCAGGTCCAGCTGTTCTGTATAAACGCTGAGCAACCCCTGCTGAAATGATTATCCCTAAAAATACAATTAAATACATTCGATGAAGGAGAAAAGATAGGAATTGATAACTTTCACTAATCTCCTTTCTTCCATGTGTAGTTTTAAGAAAAGCATAATTTCCTCAGGCAATATTAAACAATTAATAAACTTAAAAATTTGCCTAGATATGTATGCCTATTTGGAAAGCATGTTATTTGAGACAATTCCTTTCTTTGAAGATTATCACAATCTCCTGAGTAAGCCATTTGACCACTAGAACAAGTCTTGCACAGTGACGGCGAACAAAGATATGCAAATACCATTTAAAATTAAAAGAAACTTGCAAATGCGGCTTTATTTAATTCTTACAATAGGGAGGCACTTTTACATTTTAAAAAAAAAAAAGAGAAGTTTCATTACAATTGCAATACTCTAAAATATTCTTCCATGAAAACAAAAAGAAATGGTGTCTGTGTGGGGAAAATTAAGTGATTTTTGTTTTCTTTCATTTCACCTCTATACCATTTATTACACTTAAAGAAACAAAACCTAAAAACCAAAACCAAACCTTGCCTTCTCCTGTTCGCATGGGCCGATGTAAGTGTTTAGAGTATTGTTGATGCTTTGTGTTCCTCATCATTTCCGTGTTTGTTGTACAAGGCAAAGAGGCTGACCCAAGGGCTTTCCAGAATTCAGTGGGTGCTGCTGAGATACTATAAATGACGTAATCAAGTGTATTTGATGTCAAAAGCCCCAATTTAGCTCTGCCTTGCATGCAAAACCTGCTTATTTCAGTCAAGTTATTCCTCACCTTAGGCTCAAATGAAGAATATGTGTGTTGGAATGGGAGGAGAGCAGAGTGGGATGCTTTCTTGCAGTTATTTCCCCTCCATGGAGTCTTGAGAAATTAAAGCTTTTTTCACGTACCATCATAGGAAAATGAATTAGTCATTCACTGGCAATTAGCCC